GGGCTCTGTGCTGACAGTGCAGAGGCTGCTTGGGATTCTCTCTCTCTCTCTCTCTCTCTCTGCCCCTCCCCTACTTGCGCTCTCTCAGGATAATAAACTTTAAAAAAGTATATTACTAGGGGACCTAGTCTGAGGCAAGGTTGTATGTGGAAAGTTAAGGCAAAAGTAACCATGGGGCTTTCAAAGAATTCAAATGGCCTAAGAGGCAAGGAGGAAAACACAGGAAAAAGCCCATCTTGATACTTGTGGGGAAGACAGGGGACAGACCATGTTAAGACTTTAGATATTTAGAGCAAGAAGCAGCCATAAAGGGTTTTAGACTAACAAGATAAAAAAAAAAAAAAATCACAGGTAATACAAACTGTGAGACAGAGAATAACTTAAGAAGGTAGAAGTTCCAACACCATATACCTCCTTTTAAAGGATTATTTTTTAAATTTTGCTGGCAAACACTATTTCAAAATGGACACAATTTGGGGGTTTGTCCTTACTCAGTTTAAGTTTGGACAAAAATATTTAAAATGGCTGCTCATACAATATTTTAATGGAGTGTTCATATCTGAAGACTTTATGTTTCAAAAACATTTATGTGATCAAAAAAGTAGGCCTGAGCTAAGCTTTAAATATCTGAAGGTAGCTTTGGACTAGAAAAAGGATACCAAACTGATGCGCCTAAAAGGAGTATGTATGTACACATATAACTTTCCTGTATATTAATCACTAATATGGTTAGAAAAATTAAAAAAAATTTTTTTTAACGTTTATTTATTTTTTTTTGGGACAGAGAGAGACAGAGCATGAACGGGGGAGGGGCAGAGAGAGAGGGAGACACAGAATCAGAAACAGGCTCCAGGCTCTGAGCCATCAGCCCAGAGCCCGACGCGGGGCTCGAACTCACGGACCGCGAGATCGTGACCTGGCTGAAGTTGGACGCTTAACCGACTGCACCACCCAGGCGCCCCAGAAAAATTTTAATAAAATACTTCAGATGGAGATATTAAAAGTACAATTTTTAGGTTACCCTTTTTGACTTACAACAAAAAATACCCCTAATTTTTACTTAAGTTTCAGATGGAAATATTTTTAACAAAATGAGACACCACAATGAAGGCTTCATGAATAATTTATTCCATTTGAAGTTTTGTTTTTTGTTTTTTGTTTTTTTTAAAAAGTATAAACCTTTTCATTTCCTCAATCACAATTTGTACAACTCAGTGTTATGGCATTCGGCAGCAATAGTGTTTGTTCCTTATTCTTTTTTTGTCACATTAAAAAAAAAAAAAGCAATTGGACCATATTAAATGTCACTGCTAAACAACAACTTTAAAACGCCCCTTCATAAAGTGACCAAGCTATTTGAGAGAGTTGATGCTGACATGTCCAGTAATGACGTTACAATTTGTAGTTTAAACTCAGTAACTTTAAGGTCCACAAATCCAGTTTACTTTGAAAACTAAAACTATTTTAAAACTTCATGAATATATCAACCTGAGGAGTATCTTAGGTCCCAAATCCAGTTTTTTAATTAATACTCCACAAAAGAGAAAACATATATATGAAAATTTAAACCACAGTTCTGGGCCTATTAAAACACCAAGAAAAACCTAAAGGTTAAGATTTCCAGCTGATTGGGGGAGGAAGGGGTGAGGGACCAAAAAAAAGGTATGTCAAAAACATTTTTCTTTAATTTAGACAAACTAAAATCTTAAGAGGAAACCCAGACCAAAACATTACTCATGCAACATTAAATGTATTAATAGACTGGTATGCGATGCCATAGTGGATGAGTAGCAAATTATATGATGCAACAGCATTTAAAAACTTCCTTTTAATGTATTCAATTTGAACATTTTAAATAACGCAACATAGTATTTTGAATATTACAGTATTAACATAGTGCTTGATTAAAGATCTGCAAATCTTTGTAGTAACACATTAAGTTAAAAAATTACCTCAGAAGGTAAATATGAAGACGAAAGGAGAATATTTTAATACAGTAATCTGTGCCATACTGACAATTGAGTACGAATACAGCTGAGGATAATTGACTAAGTAGTAAGAGCTTAATTTTAGTGGTTTAAGAAAAGTTTAGAAAGATTTAAAAATTACAGCTACTTTAAAATTTAAGGATTACATATAAGTACACTTGGTGGCCTTCTGGCCAAACAATAAGGTGTACAGAAATTTATTCATACAGTGTTAATTCACAGTCCTGATAACTGAATGGCTTGCATAAGAAAGTATGGCTAGATGTTTCTCACTGGCTGGAAGCAGACATTATATAACTAATCTTTTTAAATGCCAAAATACTGTACTTCCACCCTGCTTTGTAATGGATAACTGCACAAAAAACAGACATTAGCACTGTAACAAAGAAGTCAATGTGTTGGTGATCAACTGGTATAAAGTATATATTATTTTGCTTACCATTTAAACAAACAAACAAACAAACAAACAAACAAAAAACTACCCATACTTGTCTGTGACAGTATGGTAGTAAGTCAGATCCATCATCCTGCATAAAAGGCTTAACTTTTTGAAATAAGTCTCTTGACCTTTTCTAATGGATATTTAATAATTTTCTATTTAAGTGTGAACTTAAATATGAAGGGAAGAAAAAAATCTTACCAGTAAATCTTATATATTTGGGAACTTCTCCCTGTTCCCAGATAAAAAGGAATTGTATACTGGGTTCCTTTCTTTATGGCTCCATATAAAAGAAACTGTCAGGGAATAATTTTTTAAAAATCTATCCTCAAACTGAGGTGTGTTCACTACAAGCTAGTGATATTAAACAACTGAGAATATAGCTTTTATTTTTAAAAGTCACTACTGAGCTAAGTTTATAAAAAAAAAAAAGAGGATACTTTTTATAGATATTCCAAATAAGCATCTTTTTTCCCCTCAAATTTCAGACAAGTTTTTTTAAGTATAGAACAAAACATGCCAACATAATCTGTAGTGTGCTAGCATAATTTAAAAATGAATGCAGAGATGTGATCTTTAAATTCTAATTTCAAAAATGCTGACCCTTGGAATTGCATTATAATTTTGAAGAAGTGATTGAAAACCTTTGTCACCAGTTGTGTGTTTTTTATAGAAAAAACAAGACTTGCTAATGTTTTAATATACACAATTTGAAGAAGTTATATTGTTTGTAAGAAAGTGATATTTAAGCTAAGCATATAGTATTTACAAAACAAGTTTCAGTAAAAACAAAACAAAACACACCGAATTACAGTTTTGTAAATACAACTGATTTTGTCCTTGTGGAGAATTACTGAATGTACAAATTCAGAATTTTTCTAGACTGCTTCCAAGAAAGATAGGTAGACTTGGTGACTGTGAATTCAAGTCAGCAACACAGGCAGGAAGCTAACTTGGACTCTCTTGTGAGCAGCACTGTAGAAACAACTTTTTAAAGGGGTAAAGCCTGCATAAAAGCATTTATCTTGGCATGTGCAAACAAGAAGGGGGAAAGCTGTATTGAAGGAAGGGGTGAATTAAAGTCCCTAAAATTCAAGTCCCTTCTTTAGGGAGGTGAGATCCTCCTTGGCATATGCCCTGCCTTAATCTGAGCTGTGTTATAGAAAAGTACAGACTCTGGTGTTTGGGACTGCCATCTCCAAACCAAGAAAATTAAATAAATAAAAAAGGCAAAAGGAAACAGGTTAAGTTTAGAAAATGGTTCTTTAACTAGTGGAATAGAGTCTGAATACCAGAATTCACTGAGAAATCTATTTACACCACAGTTTGATTGCACACACACATCCATACATATGCATACTCTCACATACATTCCCAATCTTTAATTTAAAAAACAAAAAAAAGTCAAACAGAGTGACTGTTCTTAAAATAATTTGTAAAATGCCTAGAGCTGGGCTAAATTTCAACCTTATAGCAGATCCTGAAGATAATTTTCATAATTAATATTCCCATGCCTAGATGTGCCACTGTCAAAACTGAAAAAAACATTTAAGCATGTAACATTAAACACCAAAATTAGTTTAAGCATTCAGTAGCAAATGTTTTTCTTGTAAAACTAAGTTTCTTTCACTGGAAATGGCCTGAAATATTAGTCATAGCCCTAAACCATAGTACAAAATATAACTGAAGAATTCTCATTTTATTCTAAGTTAAACCACCCAACAATATCACTTGTATATTGCCATCATGTTATTCTGTAAAGGTGTGATATATAAAATGCTGTAAGACCCAGTACCTTTTCAATTTATAAACACAGTGAACTTCATTACTGTACATGTACTCTGCAACTACAGCTTAGCTGTAAATCCTCCACACACAATGGTATGGACATTATTCCCCCTCTATCCCCATTAAACTGTACATCGAGACAATACAAATTTACTGTCCCACCCACCCCCTTACAAAAAAATAATACTCTAAAAGCAACCCTACTGCAACTTTTTAATTAAGACGATTACATATATTTTAGACCAATTGCTTTAAAGCAAGAAGGCAGTATAAACCTTCTAGGAAAATTTTTATAAAAGAGGTTAAGAAATATAAGACAATTTATACATTTAAAAACTTACAATAAATAAGAGATGCAGGCATTTTTGAATACTAGATACTATAATCCAATACAAGAACATCTTGATGTTCTGAAGCCATATGTTGAAATTCATTGTTCCTCATGTTTCCTCTCCATGCTTTTAATATTCATTTAACATGACTGGGTACTATGGCTCATTACTTTTCACAAATACTGTGACTGGAAAAAAAAAAGGTTAATTTTGCTACGAAAATGTTATAATACGTTTTGTATGATCAGTCATCATCCTAAAGAGTTCAGTATAGTCAATGAAAAATAGCAAGGTTTATAGCCCCTCCCCCCAAGTCAAAACAATATTTGTTGAAGTAATAAGAATTAGACCCCATCACAGATGACTTTCACTGAGAAGATAATTATAACTTAATCTTGCAGTGAAATATCTTTTTTCCTTGTTCTCTTCTTGCACAGTTCCATCCAATGAAGATCACAGCATATTCATAATAAAGTTATATAACTGATTCAGCACCACAAAATGAATTGGGAGACAGGAGCGTCTGTCCTGGATTGCAGGGTCACAGGTTAGCCAGGAGAGTGCATTGTACTGTTCCAAAACAAACCTGAAAAGTAAATAAACTGTTTTAAGTCCTGTATATACTTACACTGTAGATTTTGGAAGCAGTTTCCAATTATGGCATCTAAGATTTAAAGCCACTTTAAAAAATGGTGGAAGGTATGGAAGAGAGAGTCCTTGGGGAAATTAAAGATAAACTAATTTTCAAAAAAAAGTATTCTCAAAAGTAGACTACACATGCTAGAAAGACAAGGACTCATTCTGAATGATGTAATTCATCTAGAGATCCAAGGGTACACAACTATAAATTATTGACAAATAGGAGGAAAATACGTAAGGATCAACATTATACTCTTTCAAAGTTGCAATGGAGAACCTTTAATGGTAAAAAGAGCTATACCTGAGGACATCTGAAGTCTGATTTGAGTCAAGTGGGTGGGAGTGTTTACTGTGAAGCAGCTCGTCAGATTGCACTGAAGGCACGTGGAGGTGCAAAGAGGCCTAAAAAAACAGGTAATCAGTCAGCCAAATGAAAAAGTTCTGTTGGTTTTACCTTATTTTCCCAAGTTTTCCCAAGGTCTCGTCCTTGATGAAATACATTTTAGACCTATGTAATGAATGGGCACCACTATAAAGATGCTTGTTCTTCTTGTTTAAGTGCATAACTTATATTCAATCTTAATTTTCCTCAGTTCTATTGTTTTTGAGACCACATAATAATCCCTTTAAAAGTTATTTAATAGTTATTTTAAAAGTTAAAGTTATCTATTTTCTGGGTGCCTGGGTGGCTCAGTTGGCTAAGTGGCCAACTCTTGATTTCAGCTCAGGTCATGGTGTCACGGTTCATGGGATCGAGCCCCAAGTCGGGCTCTGCACTGATGGTGCAGAGCCTGCTTGGGATTCTTCCTCTCCCTCTCTTGCTGCCCCTCCTCTGATCGCTTCTCTCTCTCCCTTTCTCTCTCTCAAAATAAACATTAAAAAAATGAAATAAAAAGTAAAAAAGAAAATAAAGTTATTATCTATTTTCTGCATGTAACATGCCTAGATGTGTCAAGTAAATGTTTAAGGAAGCACTAAACTGATAAACCTGTCTACAGGTTACACAGAACTTAGACTATGCACATACACCTAGGTCTAGCACTGAAAAAGTCAGCATATGCAAGTATACTACATACAAAGCTACAAATTTTAAATAAAGCTACCTATGGTGGAATTGTAAGCACTCTAATACAGTATATAGAATGCCTTCCTTTGCCCATGCAATTTCATAATGGAGGCTTAGTAACAACTGCCACACCCATTTTGGTATGACAATGAAGAGTGGAAGAAAGGAATGTGGTACTCTTCTTCACATTTCAATTAAAGAAAGTGAATCATTTTGTTTATTGAGTCAATATATTAAGTGTGAAAAAACTATGAGAGATGGTGGTATTGACTGCAGAATACTAGCAGACTTCATTCTGTATAAAGTAAAAGGTACTATTTTATATTTAGGTGATCTCTACAACTGCAATAGATGTATAACTCTTCTAATATATATTCAAGAATATAACCAAAGAAATGTCTTTAACTGCCCATAACTCTTCATTTGTAAGTTATAAACAAGTCTCACATGACAGATCACTACAGATTAAATGAATATAGTCAGTACCAAAATTACCATTTAATTTCTAAGATAAAAAGGTTTTTTAAATCATCTAGGGAATAATCTATTATTTTTCTAAGCAAAGAGAAACACATCGGGTGGTTTTATTGCCTATGGTACAGGAAATAAAATGGAATGTATGAAAATAAAAGGTGAACAAAATTATGGTAAATTATGCCTTACCTGGTAATTCAGACCAGAAGTCCTAATCTTGTTACACTGTATCTGAGGGTGAATGCCCACTTTACACTATCCTCTCTGCAAATAAATATTGAGTAGAAAAGAATCTGGATAGTCCCTTGGACTTTTTGTAAAGTGGTGTTTCCTAAAAAAATGTTCCGTGAAACACTAAGGTCATGAATTATTAACTGGTGTTACACAATTGCTTTCTTGTGTATTAAAGTAAATTTGGGAAATAGTAGGTATACAATGTTATTTGCTGCTATTTTTCAGAGACTTTAATGTGCACATATGTATTATAACAACAAAAGGGGGCAGAAAGCATGTGTAACATTTCCCAAAGGACCAAAAAACCCTTTGTTTTATAGAAACACCAAGGACTACTATTTTGCAGAAACACAGTTGGGAATATGTTCTTGTAATGAGATCTATATAGACCACTGTACATATATTGGAAAGAGAGGAAAATTCATATGATAAAACTTTATTACCTTGGCTGACCTTCCTAAATATATCACCTCATTAATAGTCAATTCAGATCAACAGCTGTTGTATTCTTTATGTGCTACAGAAGTTCATTGCTTAATCTCAAATGTCACTGACTCAATGGTATGTTGGCCAAGAGTATCAAGATTTAATAGCAACAGGCTTAAAAGATAGCAAGCCTATTGGTTCAAGTACCCACTAAAAGCATAGTATCCAACTTTTACCCTACAATTAAAAATCAATTGGCAAGAAGTTAGGTTAGTTAGTATGACCCCTGGAATAAAATTGTCAACTTCTGGTGGGCATATATAAGAATAAGTGAATCAGATCTGAATTTCCTATTTTGGAAAAGTAGTAAGCAGCAGCAACAAACTCTGCATAGGGCTTTCAAATCTCATTTTACCATTATATGATGTATCTCAACCTTGTTACAGCACCTGCTAATGAACTTGTTTTGATAAAATAAGTCACTATGGGAGTCTTAGTACTTGAAAATGACTTAATAGTTTTAACACAGCAATTTACACAAAGCTAGAAAAAAATTTTTTAAGGAGGTAGTAAGTGGATCTAAGTATCAAATATTCTTACAAAATTATGAATCCTTTAATCCCCCAAATACTGAGGCATAACAGAAATACAGTATGATGTAATTCAAAGAATAACCATATAATCATGAAAGGATCCAGACTGTAATCATAGTCTACTAACCAATTTATGACTTTAGACAAATGAGTTTTTCTGAACTTTAATATGCTCACCTAGAAAATGAAAAGTTATTAGATTAAAAGTAATAGACGTTTTCACCCAGCTCTAAACTTCCATATGTGCAGCTGAAAATAATAAGAGCAAGGGTCCCAGAAATATGACTTAAAATTAATTAAAAGTTCAAACTTAGTATCAATTTAAAACGTGGAGCTGTTTCATAATTAGATAACTTCTTTGTGCTCTTGTCATATATTGCAATGCATTTGACCTTAGACACTTTTGTGTTTCTTAAGACTTAAGCCGTCGATTAGTATTATTTAGGAACTGGCATAAAAATGGAAATACCTTAAGAAAAAGGGGACACTGATATTGTGCTTGAGGACATGCTGACCAGAACCAGTCAGGTAAGGGACCCGCTTTGGCAGTTGACACAAAGTAACCAAGGGCCAATGGTTGCTGAAGAATATTAGTTACTTCATCATGAGATTCTGTTGAAAGTAGCCGATCAGTACCCTGACCCTTTAAGAGAGAAAAATTAAAAGTGTGTTAGTTCATTTGATATATACATGGGCACTAGATATACACAATGGCAATCAGTCTCATTATCTTACGATGTCAATTTAGAAAAATACTGAAAGATACTGAAAAAAATCAATTGCTATGTACTTAGTAAGAAGATCATAATTAGTAACAGTACTAAAAGAATGAGCTTTATTTCAAGAGTTTTAAAAGGAAATTAATATGCCAACTGCTTATGCTTGTATCCTTTAGATTAGTCCATGTATTTCTAGATATTTACATTAAGGAAATAGATAAAAAGAAGAAAAAGTGATATGCAGACAAAGGTTCACTGCAACATTACCTATAACAGACCAAAAAAAAGGGGGTGGGGGGATGCATGGGTGGTTCAATCAGTTAAGTATCTGACTCGTGATTTCAGCTCAGGTTATGATCTCATGGTTCACAGGATCGAGCCCCATGTTGGGCTCTGTGCTAACAGTGCAGAGCCTGCTTGAGATTCTCTCTCCCTCTCACTCTGTCCCTCCCCTGCTCTCTCGCATGCACACACTTGCTCTCTCTCAAAATAAACTTAAAATTTACCAAATTAAAAGAAAAAAGCAATCCCAAGCTATTTTGAGACAAACTGCAACAAATTATGGGAAAACAAGGTTAAAAAACTTATTATACTTATTTATACATATTGGAAGCTGTAACATAAATACATGTGAAAGGGAATTTGCTACAAGTACATGGTTTCTTAGTGATGGGGATTAAGTTGCTTTTCCTTACACACACACACACACACACACACACACACACACATATTTTAATACTCTCACTGTTTTTTTAGTATTTTTTTTTATTTTTAATTAATCTCTGCACCCTCCTTGGGGCTGAAACTTACAACCCCAAGATCAAAAGTTGCATGCTCTACCAACTG